CCAACACAGAATATGGTGGGCGTTCAAATTGATCAAAATCTTCAGGATACTGATAAGTGGAATTAATATGGACCTTATCAGAGTCATAGATATATCCTACATATTGATATTAACACACAAAAACATTGAAAATTTCACAACATACCATATTGTTCCTTACTACTTGTTCTTCCCAATCTCAAACTTAAAGATATTTGGAATTTTCTACCAGCACTGTTTTTGCTCTCACTCAATAGTTGAAGTAATTCCTTAATGGCTTCTCCAGATGCATCTCTAATTTCCATGATCAATGTCAGATCACATTGTGAGAGAATTTTCAATAGAACATCAACAACTTGATTATTTTGCATCTTTTTCTGACCAAATACTTGGACATTGAAACTGCAGTATGTTAAATCGGTGCTTGATTGTTTGGCAGTTGACTTGTTGATAATGGAAAGGTTTAGAGTAAGAACTGGATACGAAAGAAGGGAAAGAATCAAGAGTAAAGAGGTGGTGAGTAAGAAGGTGCGACTCGTGGAGATCATTGTTAGCTGTTTTTTTAATTTGTGAAAATCATGCAGTACTGACATGCAGAAAAGATCTTTAGGTCTGGATTTTTTAATTACGAAACCAAGGTGGTAACGACATCGTAACGGGGGGGTGGTTCGTAATTACTGGTAAATGACAGGAAAAATTAAAATTTTTGATAATTTTAAAAATAACCTGCCCGCTAAACCCTTTTCGCAAATGCTGGCTTGACTTTTAACGATTTTTTGTTAATGGATTTTTGCGATGTGAGCGAAATGTAGAATTGCCCAAGCTCGACTTGTAAATTTTTTCGAAAGTATTTGAAATTTCACCAAGTCTTGAAATTAATAAAGTCTATATTAAATGTATTGATTGTTGTAATGAACTGGAATAGGCCTGTTTGGAAGGGTCAAGAATAACACACGGAACCTTTTTTCCTTGATATCTCAATGATACGTTTCGGATCTTCAATAGCAAGCTGTATTGAATAAAAGTCATTAGAAAAGGACTCAACCTGACAAACCTTCTTGGTTTTTGTATCGAAGCATCTCGTTTCTTACTCACTACATAGTTGCCAGCAATACATTGTCCTGAATTTAAGGGTTCATTCAGATCAAGAAGATCACATAATTGACAAGTATCATAATACGTA